AGATCTGAAAGAGACAGCACAATCACTAGAAATAAATGAAACGGGGGGAGGGGAAATAAATCAAAGTCTCCTAAAATAATCTGAAGCTTTCAGGACTGACTCATTTCAGGGTAGTGAACTTAGGAACAACATGTAAGTGATGCTTTCTATACTGGACTTTTATCCTGGACAATAATAACTTTGAACTGATTTTTTAGCACGATACCAAAGTTTTAATGAACCCTGGCTCCCCACCAGTTGGATGGAAGGACTAATATGATCACAAGATTCATAAACAAAGAAGAATCATCCAAAAGCAGGAAATTGGTACCATTCTTCTGCTGTTTGATGGAAAATCTCAATTCAGTTCCAGCTTCTATACCTCTAAAAGAGGGCTGGCAAAAAGAGGAAAGAACTGGAAAATAGCCACAAAAATGACCCTGGATCTCCCAGGGAAGGCACAGAGAAATTCAGCCAGCTTAGTTTACTGAATCAAGGATTAAGAGAGTGGTTTAATCAAAGTGTAGAAGCAGGAAAGTTTCTGAAAAGGCAGGACTCTTATTTTTGCCAGCAAACACAGGCTAAGAGCCAAAGTTGCAAGTTAAAAATAGACAAAATAAAACTAGGGTAAGAAACCACCAAAACAATTTACTTAAGGATGTGGTGGGTTCTCCTTCATTTGAAATCTCTACAAGAAAAGCCACCAAGCCTTTTTAAAAGATCCTGCTGTTTACTACAGACTCAAAGTTCAGTTCCTCCTTTTCCTGTGTGTTTAAATAATTTCCCACAGCACAAGCAAAGATTAAGGCATCCAGAGAAATTTTTGGTCAAAAAGGAAGCACAACTTTTACCTTAAGGGTGAGGCAGCCCCTAGACAGTAAGCAGCCTGCATCTTAAACCCACCTCAGATGCCCAACCACTGCTTCAGGTGTCTGCTTTTTATTTCTTTAAGCCAAATACTGGGAGTGTCAGAGCTCTGGAGAGGCAAGTGCTCCCCAGCTTCACCTTCCACATCAGCAAACTTGGGGCATCTCCCAATCAAATTCTGCCTATGGTGGACTCTGCTGTCAGTCCCCTCAGGGAAGAGGATCCAAAGGGGTATTTTGGAAGCACCCAGCCCCAAAGGCTGCCCCCCAGGCTGCTGGAGCAGGACAACACCAACTACCTTCATGGAGGTGAAGTTCCGGGGCCGGTCGAACTGGAATTCCATTTCAACAAAGCCTGTGCTGAAGCTCTCGTTCTTCCAGCCAACGTAGTCATAGCCTGGCCACACACGGTACTGGTGGCTCTGGGTGAAGTCATCCAGCCCCAGCACACCATCTGTCAGCTGGCCCAGCCCCCCGTACAAGTGCCTAGCAGGAGAAAACCAACAGTCAAGGCAGAGCAGCAGCCAGGAGAGCTCCAGAGTGAAAGCACTCGGGTCCTTCCACTGGCACCAGGAAAACATGCATTTGTTTACTCTTAATCCATCCTGGACTGGAACTCATTCCCTGATTTTATGCAACCTCCCTTTATTTTGTTTGGGCTGGGCTTTTAAAACCCTTCCCTGCTTGGGAAAAGGCAGAAGTTTTTGCATTGATAGGAAGCACTGACAGCAAAGCCAAGTTTGAGCAGAGTCTCTTGAGAATGAAAACTGAGACTCCAGAAAATGACACTGTGTGCTCTCCAAACAGAGCTTTAATTGCAGCATTTCAGCATGGGCTGCATGGCAGGAACACTGCTCCATCCTCCTTGGGGGAGCCAGTGGGGAAAGTTTTGCAGGCAGGCACAGAAAAGCAGGAAAAAGAGCAGTGAGACCATGGGCAGCTCACCCAGCCACAGCCAGTTCTAACTGGGATCATTCCTGGCATTGCTCCTTGTGCAAGAGGAGAGAGCACCATCAGCTCCATCTCCAAGATTCCTGGCATTGCTCCTTGTGCAAGAGGAGAAAGCATCATCAGCTCCATCTCCAAAGCTGATCAAACCCTTCACCCAGGACCCTGCCTCGTTCCACTTCCTATCTGAGGCTGCAGAGCCCACTATGCACTTTTCCAGCACTGTAGGCAATACCAGATGTGGTGTCACTCCTGACCCAGCTGCCCTGTGGGTTCCACCCCTGGCAGGTCCCTTGTCCTAGAGCAGGAAGGTACAAACAGTTCAGCTGTGCTGGTGCCTGAGCTTGCTCTCTCGACTTCTTTCACTCAGCTGCCTCACCTGGGCTGTGGCTACATGCACCAAAGCTCTGCAAGTCCATTCCAGGAGAGCTCTGCTGTCACCAGAACATGCACAGCTAAGTGTCCCTTGACTCCACAACAGGACCAACTGAGGCAGAATCCTTCCAGGCCAGTCAGGGACATGACTTAGAGGTCAAAGCAGTTTGAAAGAGCCTTTGCTTAGCACTTTGGGTTTGGTGGTCACATATGTAGCTCCCTGACACTCCTCAGCAGATCCAGCTCCCTAAGCTAGTGCTGAACAGCTAAGAGCAAAACTTACATCTTTCTGCACATAAAAGCCTTTTTTCAATATCTAATCCTACTATATCAATGCAGCTTGAAAGCATCAGATATAAACTTGAAGACACTGTTACTCAGTATCTTGCAGCATCTTACAAGCATGAGGAATGTACTTTCCAGCCAGTTATTTTAACCTCCAGCATGACAGAACACGTTTACAAAAATCATCAAAACACAAAACAAATAAAATTTAAGTAACAGTAAAAAATTTCAGGAAGTTAATGACAACTGAAACAGGACATAGAATTAAAGCACCTTAAGACAATGACTGACACCAGGTCACTTATTAGTCACACTCCTGCACAGGCAGGGAGATGCTGCCTCAAGAAAGACCTCATGCCCAAGTTTGTCTGAGGTTTCAAGCAGTTGAAACACACTCAAATCTGCATTTATAGCAAAGAAAGTGATCCTAGTAAATGTCTGAAAGTTCAGCCACTTATTTAACATTTCAAATACAGACTCTTAATGAACTCTCCTTCCATGAGTGTCAACTATCGGGTAAACCAGACATCCCAAAACGTCTACAACATGCCACCCTATCTAACTCATCTCAGTGATGGGAAAAATTAACAGACCTTGTAGTGAGCTGTCAAAATCCAGTTACTTTAAGCTTTTGACTCCAAGCTGGAAAAGCATCATTCCCAAGAAATCTTTACAGTGAGTAATCAGCCACCTTCCTCTCATACCACATTGGTAGTGGTGCCTCTGCTGACCTGGAGTTTCTCACAGGGAGTGAGGCAGTTTTCCAAGTTGTTTCAAGTCCATCAGAGCTTTGTTTTCAAAAACAATATGTCAAATCTGTCCAGGAGCTCAGAGGTATCACTGCAGGCCTAGAGTTCAGGTGTTGCGCACTCTCTCGGATGCCCAGTTTACCCTGGAGACCTCCTGCAACAGTTTAAGATGCAGTCTGCTAGAGAATGCAGTTCAGATGTCAAACTGCAGAAGCAACAAAGGCAATGAAGAGGCAAAGAACCTTCATCTGCTCCAGGGATACTGGGTCTGTGCAGAGAGAAGGTCCAGCCAGCTCCCCCACTCCAATCTGGGGCAACAGAAGAGTAGCAGCACCTTATGATCTGCAGTATCAACGACAGCTTAAGGCTCTACCTGAACCATCAAAGAAATCAGTGCAATGAATATGGTCACAGTTAGTGACCAAGAACAATGAGGGCATTAAGGCAAATCAGACACATCAGGGGTGTGTCATTACATCATGCAAAGATGGAAGCTATGAACAAAGACAGCACTTAGCTATGTAAGGACACACTCTTCTCTTTTAAGAGAAGCACCAGCTTCTACTAACAAAAACACAAACTTCTTTCCTGCCAGCCTTTATCAGCTGAGGGAAACTAATCTGACACATCCTGAACCCGTGTCCTCCTTTAACAACGTGTCAAAGGGCCTGGGATAACAAAGCCACGATGCTTTGGAGAACTAGTAGGCTAGCTTGCAGTTCTGGAGGTCTCAAAGAAGTGTTTGGGATACAAGATACTAGGGAGAGGGTAAGTAGGAAGGAAGAGAAAGTTTGCACAGTGACCGAGAGAGAACAGGACGACTTCTCCCACCTGCGCTCCTGGTATCCATCATAGGTCGAGTCATTCAGATAAACGATGGGGAAGCCAGGAGCCGCTATTGTCCCTCCTTCAGGGATGCTATAGGATGCCAAACCATCTAAAAAAGAAGGCCATATACCTCAGAAATACAGCAGCAGCAGCCTTCCACCATCTCTGTCCATATGATCCTTTTATTTATGCTGTGGACCAACAGAAGCAGAATCCGTGGGCCTGGGATTCCCTCTGCAGACGTGGGACGCCCGCGAGTCCCAGTCAGTGTCATGTACAGATTCCTTTGCAGGGAGAGGCAGAGGAATTGGTACTTACCATACCAGACACAGCCATAGAGCTCCACCCTCATGCAGACAGTCATGGGCATCTCGGTCACCGGGATCACCCGGACGAAGCGCGCGATGATTGGAGGCCGAAGATCCTTCAGGACCACGTCGTACGTGTCGATGTTGCCTTGGATCACCTGGAGAAAAGATCCTTACCAGCAACTTCTCCCTCCTGTGCTGTCCATTTGCACAGTGGTGTACTTGGATCCTACCATTTGGGACTGGGGAGGTTCCCCGTGCAGTATCTGCAGGGGATTAGCTGCTGCTGCTCCCCTCCTCCTGCCTGGTACATGGCTCACAGGGTGCTGCTGTTTCACCTCCTGGCCACTGCACTGGACATACCAGGCACTATTCTGAGGAAGAGGAGGAAAGGCAGGTAGGAGATGAACGTACATGTGGACTAGATGTTGCAGAAACCTCCAGTTATTGGTGTGTAACCTCCTTTCTTCAAATGAGTTTCCATGTACACTCTGAGAGCAGGTAACTGAGCACCAGTGACCCAAGCGGAGGGTCCTGATGCCCTTTTCCTATGAGCCAACAGAATTCCAGAGATGCTGCAGCGTTTGGGGGATGAAGGTGCAAGAGCTGCATGGCAGGTGTCTCAAACTGAAGTGCTCACAGTCACCTCATTCTGCTGAAACAGTTTGACACAGCAGGGACATGCACCCTCCTCTTCCCCTCACAGTTCTGCAAACAGCCTACAACTCATTTGGACAGTGTGTGGGAACAGCTGGAGCTGTCACTGCCCCAGCAGTGGGCACAACTTGCCTAAGAGACTGATTTTTTTAAAAAGGCTATGGACCTGTGGAAACAGACTAAGAAGACTTTTGAAATCAAGTCTGAATTATAAATTTGAGGGCTCCTGTTCAAAGATGCCACTGGTGAGAAGGATGAACCAGACCCTGAGGTTACTCAAAAGACCACATGGATTGCAACTGTTGATGTAGAGGCAACTTTAAAAGACAAGGGAGGCCAATGAGGGAGAAGAAAGGTGGGCTTCCTCTTCATGGCAGCAGGGAAGATCTCCAAAGAGTGAATGTGGCTGAAGAGCTCACTGAGATGTGGAAGTCCTTATTGTACCACAAAAGGAAGCCACTCAAAAGACTGAATCTCCCTGAAGAGCCACTCAAAGCTGGTTGTTCTGGACCACACTAGCATAGCTGTGAAACAGTTTCCTGCACCTGGTTGCACAGCTCAGTAAAGGTGCACAGACCCAAGAGGTGACCAAAGAGCAGAAGGAAAGCCAAAGAGTGAGCTCACTTCCTCATCCTCTTCAGCTTCTCAACAGGCTTTTAATCTAAAGCCTCTTAATATCTCTTTTCCTAGGAGAAACATGACTTCTTCCAGTGAAGAAGGGACACATAAGTAATCTTCAGGAACCAAGTGACAGCAATTCACCCTTTCAGGGTTATCAACACCTTTCAAGTGTCTGATGGCCTCAGACAGGAGACCTGGAAGGCATCTAGGCTGGCTCCAAAAGACCTGGTTGATAAGAGATAAAACCCAAGAGGAGACAACATGTGGCAGAACACCCCACATCTTCATAAAGGGGTTGAACAGATCCTCTGGAGTTAGTGAATCCTGAGGGAGGCAGGTATGTCAAGCCAAAACGTCCTACATGGTCAAAGAGCTGGATAGAGGAAAAGGAAAAAACCTACAGCCACTCCTTGAGCACCTTTGCACCAGCTCTGTAAATGAAGAGCTGACATTTTTGCCTGTCCTGTACAGGTATCCCCTGAGGAGCAAAAGAGAAGATGCACTTTGCAAATCACCTCCACAAGGTGGGGTTGCTGCTGTTGAACACAGAGTCTCTCAGGGTCAAAAACCCCAAAGAATCAGTTGTACATGGAACAAAGTCAGCACCAGCTTCCAGTCCTGGCCACTACTGATGCCAACGTTCCCAACATTGATGCTGGTGGCAAACAACTGCAGGTGGCTGATACCAGAGGTCGATGTGGGAGCAGGACTCAACAGGGCACCACACAACACTAGTGCCAGTGGAGAGCACCACCCTTAGCTGGGCTCAGAGACAAGGGGACAACTTCACCCTTTGCCATCACTGACTAAATTAAAGCTGGGGGTGAGTTTTGTAGTGAGCAGCAGGATGTGCTACATGTCTGGTGACCCAACACCTGGTGCAGGGGTCTGTTGGGGTTTTCTTGCCTGAAGCCATTTGTGTGATCTCTTTGGACAGACATGCCAAGATGGGCTCACATAGTCATACTCTGAGATTTCAGTGACTGGGCATCTATCAACTGCATAGACCTTCCTAATGCATACAAGTAAGTAGATTAAGATCCTGCACCTCCATCTGGACCTCATTCCAAGGCTTGAATGACTTTACAGGACATTTTTACCAAATCATTTGGCCAGACAGCAGAATGCTTCTGAAAGATGGATTCACTAACGGATACCAGCAACACCTTTTGAAAAATGTGTCAAGGTCATCTTAGAGGAGCTGAAATGGCAGGAATTGCACCCCATTGTGTATGTTACATCCAGAACATCAGAACCAGAAGAGTAAAATCATCTTCTCTAAGAATACCAGCAGGGAAAACTCCTGGGTCTCATGTGATGGGGAACACGTACACGCACTGACAGAATCCATGTGGACTTCCACATACAGAATAGAACAGAGGATGGATCAATTTATATCTCTTGCACAGCTGAATACATGGTCATAACCTTGTTATGGACCAAGAGGGAGATCCTGCAAAACCTGATCCATCCTAAATCCACCTGACACTAAGATAGCCCTGAGAGACTGAGAACACTGCTCTGCCCAGGACTGGGGTGGGAGATGAGAAGCATTTAGCTGCTTGTGGTCACGTAACCAACTGAATTCTGATATAACTCCAGATATGGACAGACTTCAGCTAAGGAAGTACCAACCAAGAACAGTTAGGCCCAGGGAGTTTAAACTTCCCCTCCCATCCTGCAAACATGGTGTTGGCAGCACACACAGAAACAGGAGGGATGGGCAATATAACGGTAACGGCCAAACAGCAGATCAAAGGTCTGAGTGAGCAAATAATTCATTGACAAGCTGTAAGGTATTACCTGACACTGCAATGCAGGCCCCACTGAGCTTTCCAAAGCACCCCAGGGCTAGAAAGCATCACCACACCCAGGACCTATGGGTCTTAGTTCTTCAGACTCCACAAGCCAGCCCGAGGCAGGGTGGTCAGGTCAGATGAGCTGCAGATGAGAGAAGGGGATTCCTTCCCAGGAAGTTTAATAAGAGCTTATGAACATGCCCAGAGCACAGCCAGCACTAAGCTGTGTGCTCAGAGCTGGAGACAGCAAAACTCAATGGTGGTGAGGGGGGAAGCCTCTGAGTGTGTGTGCTCAGCACATTTCCTACCCTCTAAACTTTTTCCTCCTCACTGCTCCCTACCATCAAACACCCAGAATCTCATTTCCATTCCCTACCACTCCCTTCCTTTTTCTAATCACAAACTAGGCATCTGCTTTGCAGCTTCCAATTTAGAAGCAAGGGTCTGGCTGGTAGAAGGACATTCACATGGTGTTTTGAACATGGACAGAAAGGCAGTGAAGAGCCACAGTTTTCAGACACAGCAATGGCTGAGATTTGGGGCACCAGCTCAGGGGAACAACAGCCCAACAGCAAACATAGGCGTTAAGGCAGAGGACTCTGACAGAGAAGAGCCAGGATGAAGTACAACACACCAGGCAGGCTGTAGAGGATGTGCCCTCTACAGTCTAGTTCTCTGAGTTGATCTGTGTGCTGCAGGAGTCCCACTGCACTCACCTTCCTGCCCTGACGATCCTTCCAGGAGATCCAGCGCTCCCCGTTGCGTCTGTAGTCGAGCCGGTAGGCACGGGCGTATTCCTTCCCGGTGGCACGGGCGTGTCGGCCCTGGGTCCCAATCAAGGTGATGAAAAAGAGCTTGTGGAGGTCGATTTGAAGGAACTGTACATCTTTTGGTTCCAACAAGCCAGCTGGGCACCAGGCTCCGTCCCCCTCTTCCCTTTGTAACCTGAAGGAAAAAACCACACACACAAAAATAATGTCACTTCCAAGAGTTCATCCTTTCCAGGGACTGAGGAAATCCCTTGGAACTTTGAGAGTCGGCTCCGCCGGGTGCGGTTGTTGCCGGAGCCGGTAGGCACGGGCGTATTCCTTCCCGGTGGCACGGGCGTGTCGGCCCTGGGTCCCAATCAAGGTGATGAAAAAGAGCTTGTGCAGGTCGATTTGAAGGAACTGTACATCTTTTGGTTCCAACAAGCCAGCTGGGCACCAGGCTCCGTCCCCCTCTTCCCTTTGTAACCTGAAGGAAAAAACCACACACACAAAAATAATGTCACTTCCAAGAGTTCATCCTTTCCAGGGACTGAGGAAATCCCTTGGAACTTTGAGAACTGGGAGGAAGAAGCCAAAGCAGCAAGTGAGATCTGACAGCTGTCTAACAAATAGCTCTCTTCTTTGGGGTGATGTTCAACTGAGACTCACCAGAGGCCTGCAACCAATTTTCCCCTGTTCAGAACCCCCTCAGTTTCAGATACCTTTCTTTAACTCTTAGAAGTAATTTTTTATTTCCCAGACACTTTCACATTGATTGGAAACAACTATGCTATGTGGGTAGGTAGTTGCAAACTGCATGCTTTTTATCACCTTCCTGTTAAGTATACACTTACTTCTCCTAAACCCCACACAGTAAGGCTTGAACCTCTTGCTTGACCATCTCCTACAGCTCTTACAAGCACAAAGAGGAACTATCTTAAAAATAAATTTTAGAAAGAAAAGCTCTGCCCAGGTACAGATTATTCTGGCTCATCTCAATTTATCTTTCAGCTTTCCCTCATTCAGCAGCGTTGCCTGTGCAGGACACTGCTAAGTGTATGGGAAGGTCTCTGCTTCAAAACTGAGTGTTGTGGCACCAGCAGCAGAGATTAAGGCTTCTATCCTTGGAGATGGAGCAGAGCACTGTAGCCATCAGCAGGTGGAGCCACTAAAGGCAGCACAGCTTCACCTGGGCTCCTGCAGGCTCAGCTCTGCAAGCCACAAGGTGGTGAGAGTTTTAAATTTGAAAAACGTATATAGGCACAAAAAGACCATGTGGATTTCTCAGCAACAGGGGTTTTTTAGCCAACAGCTGAGTGCCTCTGTCTTCTGGACAGCTATTCTGTCTCTGGTGGGACCCATGAGTGCCAACCCCCATACATCAAAGAAGGCAGCACCTAGAAGGAGAGACAGAAGGTCAAGGCACAGGCTGGAGAAGATTTTTGCCCCAGGTTGGTCAGCTGTTCATACAAGACTTGCTAAAAGAAGCTATAAGAAAGGCAGGAAGAGTGACTGTGTAATGACAGGGACAGACATCTGCACAGGACAACTATGTCCTCTAACAAAATGAAGTCAGCTAGAGGGTGCCTTTGGGTCTTCACCCTGTGGACATCCAGCTGCCCTGGCAAAGAGATGATGGTAACAGATGGTAAGTTGATGCCTGAAGTATTTGCAGAACTGGAGACAAGCCATACCTTGGAGAACAAAATATATCTCCCAGTTTGCAGACCCACAGGCTTGTTCCAACTACATTAAAAACACACAACACTTTGCATCTTTGCTCTAGCAAAGAGAAAAAAAAATAAATGAAGCAGTAGCAGAGTTTCATGACTCTGGACTGCACAAATTCATCATAAAAATCTAAGTACCATAGTTAACCTGAAATTCATATCTGACTTGCACCAAAACTGTAGGAATGTTTGGTATCACCACAAACAACACTAAATAAACTTACAAATGTAAGTATTTTGCAATTCAGTTAGTAGCTTTGAGAGAAATGCCATTAGAAAAAAAGGGAAAGCCAGGCTCATGAGAGAGGCTGCAGTACTGCTTGATATTGAAAGAAAAATCCTTTAGCTGCTTTCTAACAATTCCTTAAGTCCACGGTTTCCAGGTTTTTGAGACCAAGTGGACACAGCCCATTTCCTTAATAGGATGCTTTTGAGAAGTTCATCCGCATAAATGACTTCCTATGATTCAGTTTAAAGCACTCAACAAGAATCCCAGGAGCACTGCCTCTAGCTGACATGTAAGTCACAAATCTATTAGATTTATTCACAGACTAGAGGTAGGTGAGGGTTGGAAGGAACCTCTGGAAGTCTCTAGTCCTGTCTCCTGCTCACAGCAGGGCTAACTCCAAAGCTACAGTGTGTTGCTGAAGGCCTTGTACAACCAAGCCCTGAAAATCTCCAGACCCTGAGACACCACCACCTCTCTGGGTACCTGTCCATGCCTTCATTTTCATGGGGAAGGATTTGTTTTTCTTAATGTTGTATCTGAACTTGTTGTATCTGAGCTTCTGACCATGACCACTGCCTCTTGGTCTTTCACCGTTCACGAGTTAAATTTAATATGGAAGCAGCGAACAAGTTCTTGAAGGTTTCTTTAAGGGAACTTCTTCCTCAATCACATCCTGGATAACTAGATGAAAAAAAGTGATCGTATTTTTTGTCAGGGCCTAACCTACCGTGCATACTGGGGTCCTGTGGAGTCATACCACTGGCTGGAAGCTGTGATGTCCTCATCTCGGATCGTCCCCTCGTGCATTCCCAAAGGGTAACGGCAGATAGCTGAGCGTGGGGACAGAGGCAAAAGATCAGCACCACGTCAGTACCAAACCACCAGACAGCTTTCATTAAAAGGCTATCGTGCCTAGGAAATAAACATGGTAATAATAAAATAGAGAATGCAAAGGATTAAATACTTCATAATTACCAGAAACTGAAATTGTAAGTAATGAAATACAATCCCAGCCAGGACAGCTCAGCAGAGTCCTGGCAAGGCAAAACTTTACAAAGGAACATTTTAAGAACATGGAACATACCAGTGTTACTGGTTGCATGGACCTATTTTACAATGAAAAATGACTTATCAATAATGATGAGAAAGGAAGCATTCATTAAATATTTTCCTTCTTCTTCTGGAATAAACCAGCTGCTTGACTTACATTCAAATAGGGACAATTATTATTTTCACCAGTCCAGTAACAAGTGAGAAGTTAAACAGCTTCTATTACAGATTACTAGACCAGTTTATGGAAACATCTGCTCTGCCCTGTCACTGCTGGTTACAGCTTACATTGGACCATCCACACTGCCCCTCCTGCTCTGTTCCCTGCCCCCAGCTCAAGTGGAGCAGGCATGAGAGGACTCTCACACTTGGTGCCTCCAGGGAGCACAAACACAAGTGGCTCAAGCCACGGAGCTCTACAAACTCAACCCACCAAAGAAAGTGCAGATGTAGTTTACAAATCCAAGCTGGCCAAGCTCTCTCCCCTGACACAAGATTTTTAACACATCTTGGAGTATTAAAGACGTTTCAGAAAACTCAAACCCTTAATATATTCATTAAGGCTCAGTATCCAAACCAGGCAAGATATTTTTGTCAGACCCACATCAACAGCAGATTAAAAAGCAAGTTATTGAGATCCTATAGATTTTTGGCCTTTGTCCTCTGAGCTCTCAGCAGCCCCACAACAGCCCCAGCTCCTCCCCTGTCTGCAGTAACACAGAAAAGTGCCAGCAGATGCTCCAATCACTCTGGAGTGGCATGTTTTGGCTGGCACCCTGAGAGCGATGCTGCCTGCTGCCAGCGCCAGGTCTGCTTGCCTGTCCCTCAGCGAGGGCACAGCCTTGGGTCTCTTCCTCACTTCTGTATCTGATAACTGCCACCAGACCTAGATAAAGCTGTTCACCAGGACCAGAAGCTACATGAAAAAAGAGGGGCATGAAACACACCTTGTTGTTACCACCATTCAGAACAACCAACCACGAGTCAAATAATTACCTGAGGTATTTTTTGGTGGAAAAAGATGATGGCAGGAGGCTGGGACCACAGCTCAGAGACACCCTACCTCCCAGGACCTAGTGGTAAGGAAGCTATTCCTGCACCTTCTGGTGTGCCACCACAAGGGATCTGCATGTGATTGACCTTGCTGCCACCCTCCCTCTTCTTCCTCTAGTTTTAATCATCAGAACCAGACAGCTACCCCAGTTCAAAGTGGGACGTGCTGGGAGGTGTATGGCTGGTAACAGGGAACACAGCAGTGTCTGCTGAGCCCCCCTAGAGGCATCACTTCACTTCTGGCTGGTGGCAGCACCACTTCAACCCTCTGCAAAGATCCACAGAGCAGGGGCAGAGCCAGACACAGTCAGAGGTCTCCACAGCCAGACCCAGCAGAGAAGATGAAAGCCCTGAGGGTAGCACTGCTGCCTCACCACACCTTCAGCCAAGCTGGAAAAGCATTAGCCTCGTTTATTTCACAGACTGTCTCCAGCTCAAACCACCTCGTTACAGGGATTTTTGCAGTACATTGCAGACCATTATTTTCCTCATTTCCATCATGACTATAACTTGCCAAATGCTGTAGGATAAGATGTTATGCTCTCCACAGGGACTCATAGGCTCATATCCCTATCTCCACCCTACATTTGTGCCAATGTCCTGGTTTCAGGCAGGTTTTTCCACCTTTCCTTCCACATCTCACTCTCCAGAACCTCTTAATGGCTGGAGAGCTGTGGCCTATGCTTTGCTAACTGGTAACTTGCTTCCCACAGCAAGCACAGTATCTCTGAGCCAGCCTAGAGCCAGGTTTGCTCTGTGGGACACATGGTCAAACTGATAAAGAGATAATCAGAGCTCAGGAGAAGCCTGAGACCACAGACCCTCTGAGTGGGCAGAGAAGGGGATATATCCACATGCCTGAGCCCTGCTAGGACTGTCAGGAGAAGCATTTCACTCCAGTACAGCTGTCAAGTAAGACTGGCCAACTCAGTCCAGAGAAGGACATTCAGGGACTATGTGAGTGATGACACTTACTTGAATTCATTATGTTTGTATGCATTCACCGTAAGGGGGCAAAGAAAGGTTGAGAACAAACACAGGAAAGGTGGGAGATAAAAGTCTTCTCCCAGCCTGGCAGCTCCCTACCAGGGTTGACTTCAGCACCAGATGGCTCAGGCAGTGAGGCCAACAGCAGCATGCAGAAGATCATGGTAGCAACCGGAGGTGCCGCGCAGGGTCAGACGGGTGCGAGTCCTTCAAAGACAGGAGCTGTCATCTACATTTCTGAAAGACAAAGCAAAGAGAGAAGATGAGAGTCCTCCAAAGGCAGGACTTCTCTGTGCTGCAGACTTGCTATACTGTCATTGCCTCGTGATGGGTTGGGCAATCTTCCATGCCTTCAAGTGTCTTGAGTACTCAGCCCTGCTCTGACTCATCACCTGATCAGTAAAGAATTAATGATTGCCTGACTGGCTATACCATCCCTAGAACTATTAACATAATTCAGCTTGTAGGAGCTCAGTTGCCATGACTACTATGCAGACATACTTTCTTAACTGCTCTTAACCAAGTCCAGTGCAAAGTGATCTCTCCCCATCGACTCTTCGCTTTCCCTATTGTATTAATAGTATTGAAGCTGCATCTAGAAGGAACCTGAATGGTCCAACCAGGCTCCCCAAGGGGGCTTATCCACCCAGCGCACACCTCTCCCTTCACCAGCTCTCTCCTCCAAGTAGCCATGTGGGCTCTCTGGAACTTGTCACACAGCCTGAAGATAAATGTCTAAAAGAGGGTGAAAATAATCTCTCCCTACATGACCACGTTGCTGCCAAAAGAGCATGTGCACTCACCATGCAAGCACACTTAATTTCCTGTTTGGAAACAAGGAAAACAGCAAAAGGCTTAAATGCTGGCAATTTCAGTGGAAAGCTATGATAACACCTAAAGTAACACAAGGTCATATCAGCAGAGTTATGTGAATTCTTTGTGTCCACATTCACTACAAAGAGCCTCAGGAGGCTCCCATCCTGGAAGCCAGCTCTGCAGAAGGCAGCTTAAAGGCTCTGCCTCTTACTGAAACATCAGGCAAAAAGAACACAACCAATCACTAAACGAAATGTTGACATGAGCAGAGGGTGTTTGCTCAGAAACCCTCAGAGTGGTAGTAAAAAGGCAAAACTGAATGTTAGGATTTGTTAGGAAAGGAAGAGAAGATAAAGAAAGAGACCATCACTATGGAAGTGCATACATGCGTGTAAAAATACCAGAGCATCAGATGCCATTAGCTCAAAGATTTGTAACAAAAGGCTGTATTTTTTCCACCCCACATAATTAAATTGCACAGGTCACAGCCCTGAGTTGCCAAGGATACCAAAACAATTGGTTATATTCACAACAGAAAGACACACCACGGCTTCTTAAATCCAAAGGTAAAAAACCTTTGGCTCAGGAAATCCCCCAGCTGCGGATTGCTAGACGCCCAGAAGCTAAATCAGGGTTAGAATCACTGAGGCTTGCCCTGTTTTTATTCTCTTTCCTAAGGATTTGCTACTGGCCATTGTCCCTGCTGGATTCAGTCAGAAAAGATGGCTCTGAGCCTGAAAAACAAGTAAGGGCAGCCTTGGGAAACAAGCCAAACGCTCATGCAGGAAGAGAAACTACTGATGGGTGGGTGTGCCCAGTGCTGGGACAGGCCAAGAGACAACACAAGCAAACCCAAAAAAAGAGGCTAAAACAATTTCCAGCCCCCCAATTCTGCTTCAGCCACCTCTTGTGCTCCACGGGAGCACCCTGGCCAGGGCTGGGAGGAGGGTGACCACAGGGTTCTGTGATTTTGCAGCATCTTGGGTAGTGAGCGTGCAAAAGCAAAGCACTGGAGAGAAAAAGCAGCCCACATCTCAGCAGGAGGGGCTGCCCATCAGAGAAGAGGTTTAGACCAAGGACTCTCAAGCTGTGTGTGCATTCAAGGTTGTCTCTCCCCCTGAAACGGAGGGGAGGGGTTATCTCTGATGGAAACACAACAATTCCCACCATCCCATGATAGACTATGTACCACAGAGCAGCAACTTCTTGTAGCCATGTGGAGGGAGATTTTGTAAAGACATTTTTGCAGCAGAGTTGAAGAAAGACCAGGTGGATGCTCATCTATGCTGGCAGTTTGCTAGGGTGGCCCAGAGGCTCCCAAAGCAGGGAGGAACTGTGGAGGGTTCAGCCCTAGAGGAGACTGCCCTCCCACAGGACCTGAGAAACTTGAGTGTCAGGAACATTTAGGCTCTAACTTCAGCCATATTCCTGCAGGAGGTGATGGGAAACATGGCAGAGACCTGTTTGGTGGTGTATGGTGTGCCAGGCATGGCCCAGCTGTCTGCCCACTCTGTGAGTGTAGCCTGGGCTGGAAAAGATCTAGACCAGCCACAGAACAGAGCTGCAAGTTGCTGAGGAGACCCTGGTAGGAGAACAGCAGCTTAGAAACATCTCCCAGGTGAATAAAAGCTGCCAGCTATTACGGGAGCCCTCAGATGGCAGAGGATGAGCACACCCATGTTCCATGTCCTCATCATCCCCTTCAGAGTCCAGAAACTGAGCCTGGCAAGCAGGCAGCTGTCAAGACACAGGCCAGCACCCACCCAAGCACCCTGGGAGCTCCCTCTGCAACATGGGCAGGGTGAAGGGAAACGGTGGTCAGAAAGCACTGAAGGAGAATCACACCTGGCTCTGGGGACCAGAGCCTGCTGCTGAAGCAAGAGAGAAATGACAGCAACCACAGACACCTCTATGGGCTTCCCAATTGATCCAAAGGCCCAGCAAAGAAGCACCACCAGCAGGGAGGCAGGTGCCTGCAAGGGAGCACAGAGCCCACACCCTAGTCTGGATCAGCCACCACCCCAAGAAAAACTGAGTCTTAGCATAAGGATTTAGTCTTCTGACAAAAGAGTAGATGTGCTAAGTCTGTCATCCTCTCAAAACAACATGTGAGCAAAGCCATGACAGTGGCCACCAGCAACCCACCAGTGATGTGTAACACAAACAGCAACATTATCTCAATTGAGCAGGCACAACCCAAACACCATAATTTAAGCACCTATTTGCTTTATGCAAAGCTCACCCCACAATTCTAACTCACACCTATTGTGTTGCCACCGAGCCAGTGACATCATTTAACCACTTGAATGCAACACTCAGGATGTCAAATTTAACAAGAGGGGAGAAGGAACAGGGTGGAGGGTGGACAAGGGAAGTAGTACAGAAATGTCCAAGCACCATGTCAGCTCCTGCCCTGAGCCAGCAACGGGCACTGGCTTGGGGTGGCTTAGGTCTGTCCCACCTGTCCTGTGGGCTGGAGGGTTCCCAGGGTACTTGATGGGTACATGGAGCTCAGCAGATCAAACAGAAACAGGGTAGCTTGGGGGAACTGCAAGCCACAACTGGAATGTGGGGCCATAGAGGCTCGTCTGACCTCCAGGAGGGGAAAGAAAACCTTCAGAGCTGGCTCTAGAGCTCACCTGTGCCTCCAGACCTGGCTTTCAATTTGGTCCTTGCCTAAAGAGCATTCAGGATGAATCCTCTTGGAACAACACATCCATCTCCACTGATGACAAAGGGAACCTGAATGTTTGGTCTGGACTGGCCTCATCACTCCCAGGTGGCAGTGACAAGCTATGTCTCAGCCTCACACAGGGACCCAGCAGCTGGGTTCAAGCTGTGCTGAGTTTGCTTTTCCCACCACACTTGGTTCCCAGACCTGGACCACCAAAATGCATGTCTGGGTGTCCCAGGAGAGGTGCTGCACACAGTGTCATTTCTAATCTCCTCCAGAGAAAGGACAGCAGGAGTGTTTTTCACTCCCATCTCATAACTGAGAGGAGCCTCAGCTCAGGAGCTCATCCTGCTGGAACCTGCTGTTTGAAGATCTACTGATGTTGATTTCTGCTGAGTCTGTATCTCAGGCTAGTTGTAGATTGGATTCCCAAAGTGCACTCTTCCAGTGCTAGAATACGCTGGAATATACTACTAACTACAGGCCTCTGTACAAGCTGCTTGGAAACCATCCTCCTAATGATTTTTTTCTGGGTAGACAACTCGATGCTTCTCTTTGTAGCTCTTTCAATTGCATTAGCCTTCCCTGTTGTACTCATGCCTTTCTTCCTGCCCTGCCCACACATACACAGCAAGTGCCAAAACTGCAGCACAAGCCCGAAACCAGCAAAAACAGGATTAGCAACATCCTCACAGAGACAAGAAAGTGTTAAACTCTGTTCTCAGGACTGAATGGATCAAGTTGCTAATTGCTAACAGCTGGCTGCAGGAGAATAAAATCCTGTTACAATCATTGTGAGAGTGGAAAAAAAAATACATACTAGCTGAAAAACTCACAAAGAAATGCAAAAGAGGGCAGTTTTTCCCAACATAGCCAGCAGAGACCATGTGTAACAAGCCTCTCCCCAGAGCAGCCATGTCCCCAGCCCAGCTCAGGGCCTGAGAGCAACAGCAGGAAGGAGCTATTCTTTAGTGATGTGCATGAAGAAGGTGGGAATTGGAGCTCCTCCAGGTACTGTTCTCCCTCCAGAGATCCATTATGGAGGTCTGGCACATTTGCGAGCCTCTCTAGATCCCAACTGCAACAGGCATTTGTTTTAACTGGTTCCTTCGCAGATCATTAGCTCAGAGCAGGACATCAGGGGCTGCTGCAGGAATCCTGTTATGGATGCCCAGCACCATGCCAAGAAACTCCAGAGTCACCATCAAGACTCAGAGCTGCACTCTCTGTGCAATACAAGAGGATCTATCCTCAACCAAAGTGTCCTCAGAAGAGGTTCAGGAACCATCAGGAGGACTAGACAGTATCTTCCAGCATTCCTAAAGGAATTCAAAGAGAAAACTGAACAGTTACTAACTGGGACAATACCCGGAGCCTGAAGTAACAGAGGCTGGAAAGTGTGATTTTCATTCTTCTGGCTTCAGTACGACAGTAGAACATTTCTCTTTGCCTCAGAGTTTATCTGAGACACCCCAAACCCACCCTACACCTAGCAGTCTTCCTCTGGAGTTCAACACTACCAGCCCATGCAGCTCCAGTTCAGACGGAACAGAATTTGCTGCTGCAAATGCTTATCAGCAAGAATTCTGATCACCTCTTCAAATGTGTTGCTTGGTTTGCAATTCAAATACTTCTCACTGCTGGTATCAATTCTGGTTTTTTAATAGGGCTTTTATGCCCCAGTCATCTCCTTCCTATACATCCCTATGTACCATTAACAATGATTCCACCTTTCCAACTTCAATAGCACATGTAAAGGG